GACAAGAAGACGGCCGTATGTACACCTCGTGCCTTTTATTAAGCATACCAATTAATTTATTTACAAAATGGCAAAATTCAATTCTGTGGAAAATAGAAGAAAATTCTTAAATTCGTATTCCTTAAATCGCAAAGATTTTATTTCACAAAGCCATATTACACCTCAACAGAACGATCCAATTCACCCAATTGTTCATCCAACGAGCCAGTGACACGCCACAGGCGAACCAACCTGTCACTGAACAAAAAAATCAAATTTCAACAGAATTTAAACAATCATTTGATATTTGCCTTACTTGAAGAACAATAAAAAAACCCTCGCACATCAGATGAGTAGCTACCTACTAGACCACACGATCTAGATTGGATGGGATCTGTTATTATCAGTTTTATTTCCCTACAAGTCATTCATTGTTATTTATTCATCGCACCCTTAGGGAAGAGAGAGACAATGGGGGAGTGCACGAACCTAACCAAGACATCAAGACAATTACTGGTGAGCCAGGGTTCTAGATTAAGCACGTCGATATAAAGCCCAACACTCCTAACCATCAGGCACGGGTATTTCCCTGATGATCTAAAATTCACTCAGTGGGTGAATGTCTTAGCCATGACACATTCAAACTTACAGAGACTGCTTGTCTTTTTTCAGTGATAAACAACCCCTTACCTTGACGCCGTAAATACACAAGACGAATTCGTACAAATAGCATTAATTGGATGCCTGTGAGCTTTGATTTCGCCTGCAAGTTATAAAGAAAGTACGAATTTGTTTCACTTTCGGTTCCAGTTTTGTAAAAACAAAAACAAGAGAAAATGGAACGACGGTATGGGGAGCCAATTTGTAACCTTCATGAAAAGGAAAACGAAAGACACTCGTTTTCAAATATGTCACAGCTGGTATCTTTGTTCTTCGACGACAGAGCTGGATCGTACTAAACACGCTTAATTCAGTCTTTGAAGCTTTATCAAAAATTTAACGGTGTAAATGTCTTCCCATCAGTTTTGCCTGGAACTAAATTAAAACCAGTCGGGCCTACGATAGGTTTTGCTTGACATGCGCTATCCGCCTTCAAGCAACAGCCCCAAAGTTATCTTCTACATCTGTTTTTGCTACTTGGGCGGTTTTCTTTTTTTTTTTTTTTTCTTTATCTCTCGGCACTCAACACCAAACTGGGAACAACTCAGTTACTTCCTGTAGTTGTGAGCAATCCTGAACTCCCAAGAGTCGGACTATCACTTAAATTCTCGTAACAGTATCCCCAATGAATCAGACATTAGAGTGAAATGATCGCCAATTTAAAACGGACGCGGTTATCAAACTCATTTTCCATGTCATTACCACTGCAAATGTATAGAGAGCAGTATGAAAAATAATCATATTGATGTTAGGGTGTGAAAGGTTTAAAAACATAAACAAATTAAGATAAAATAGAATATCTTACAGACGGGAGCAGCGGTTTCTACGTTCCACAATTTTAGCATACCACCGCGGCAACCGCTGAGAAGCACGTCTTGAGGATGTAAGAAATCTAATGCGCAGACCCAGTCCTTATGGGCTGCCGTCATATGCTGTGGAAGTAAAAGATCAGTATTATGGAATATCCTCCAGGTTTTACTCTTTTTTTTCCAAGCTTGGAAAAGTATTAGAATTATGCGGCACTTGGGGACTGTTTAATGACCTAAAACTTCTGTGAGAGAAGCTGATTTCTCGAACAAAAATCGCCAAATAGCTTTGACAGAGTGTCTCAAAAGTAATCTCGGATTGCATTTGGATCACAAAATAC